GTGTGTGTGTGTGTGTGTGTGTGTGTATGTGTGTGTGTGTGTGTGTGTGTGTGTGTGTGTGTGTTTTTCCTGTAACCAGGCAACCAGGGTGCTCAGGCAGCCTTCTGCCCCTGATGATGCAGGCTGCGTGGAGCCCAACCTAGCAGGGCATGTCTGGGTGGTCAGCATTCATTCATTCATCCATCCATCCATGTATCCATTCATTCATTGATTGCCCCTTAATGTGGTCATTCATTTGTGCAGCGAGCTTTGTTAAAGAGGCTACCTGGATATGAGTATGGATTCTGAGAATTAGATATAGCTTTTGCCTTAAAGAACCTCATCCATCCATCCATCCATTCACTGCCCTTCATATGGTCATTCATTTGTTCAGCGAGCTTGTTAAGGAGGCTAACTGGATGTAAGGATTCTGAGAATTAGATATAGTCTCTGCCTTATAGAAGCTCCCCAGCTGAGAGCTGAGGCCTGCTGTGCTTTAGCTGGTTAGGCCAGGGGCTGAGCCAGGATTTGGGACAGACGTGCCTCCTAGGGTCCCAGACAGGAGTCAGAAATGGCCTGGCTGAGTGGCTTGGGATGGGTAGTGCCTGGGCCAGCTGTGCTCATGACCCCTCCTGCGGAGGGCCCGGTTGTGCATGGCAGAGCAGGGCTGGGGAGGAGGCAGGGGTTTGGGGTTGTGGCTCAGAGGACCCTCTCAACTCCTGCTCTGGGCCTGCCCCTGAGTCTCCCTGCTGTTTGCCAGGGAGAGGTGCACTACTCTTCACCTAGTCCAGATGCTTCTGGGGTATGGGCTCTGCCAGGCTTCTGGAGTGTTCACTGAAAGGAGTAGGTAAATCCCAGCCACAGACTTGGGGCTGAAAGAAAGCCTGAGGCCTGAGGGAGGGAGCCCTGGAAGGTAGTTAGCAGACAGCACCAGGTGTCTGACAAGCCAGTTTGCCTCTCTAGCCCTAGAGAATAGCCAGCTTCACCCCTCCCTGGCTCCTTGCCCCTTGGAGGAGTCCAGCAACCTAGAGAGGATTTAGGTAGTTTAAGGCACAGGGTCATTGGCAGCAGTTGAGGCAAGGAGGGAACCGTGCTGGGGTAGACATTGTGATCTGGAGGTGACTCCAGGTTCTTGGCTCTGTCCCTTGACCTCCAAGAGCCTCTGGTTTCCCAGCTGGCACAGGGAAATAAGCCTGGCCCCTTCACTCCAAGCTGCTAGAGGATGAGAGGAGAGGGTGAATGAAAGCCCCTGGATGAGTCCTCACCCGGCACTGAGAACAAGAGCTAGAGTGATGTGCCCGGCAGGAGTAGGCAAGGATCTAACCCCTTTCCCGGGAGACTAGCCCTCTTGTGGCTGGCACTGCTGGAGCCCTGGCCAGAATGTTGTGTGCACAGGGGTACATGTGTCGGCTCTGGAGCTAGACAGCCAGTTTTGAATACCAGCCCCACTGTTTATTAGCTGATACTTAACTTTCTGGTGCCTCAGTTTCCCCATCTATAAAATGGGGATGACAGTAGTGGTCCTGAGGATTGTGAAAGTGCTAATAACAAAATGTGCAAATAGAAAGCACTCAGTGAGTTCTTTTATTAAACTCAGAGCTGTCCTCAGAGTAAATGGTAACTTAGATCACCCTTTGCGCAACAGCCTTTCAGGGCCAGGCAAGAAACGGCTGCCTTATCGGTTTGAGGAGGGGCCTCTCTCCCAGGGAGGTGTCCCTGCTGGTGTCTGCCATCCCCAGGTTTTCTTCTGAGCTGGGACTCCCGGGAGGGCTGTGTGGCACTGCCCCCTGTGGCAGGCAGGGGTAACTGCAGGGGACTGTTGGCTGGCTGGGAGTGGTCCACTGAGGCCTGATCCCCTTGCCTTCTTGCCCCACAGATCTACAGGCGCTGCTGGCTGGTGTTCCGGAAATCCTCCAGCAAGGGGCCGCAGCGGCTAGAGAAGTATCCGGATGAGAAGTCAGTGTGCCTCCGAGGCTGCCCCAAGGTTAGGGGGCCTGGGCCCTACCTCTGCCAGCCTCTAAGCAAAGATGATTTACTGAGTTTTGGGGAGTCTGAGAGCACCCTCCTGCGGGTGGCAGAGCTGTGGGGGAGGCAGAGGTAGGTGCTTGAGCCTGGCTGAGTCCCTTGTGGATGCTGTCCCAGGTGACGGAGATCAGCAACGTCAAGTGTGTCACACGACTCCCCAAGGAGACCAAGCGGCAGGCGGTGGCCATCATCTTCACCGACGACTCGGCGCGCACCTTCACTTGTGACTCGGGTGAGCAGCCAGGGCTGCAGGCCTCCATCTGCCCACTCCAAGCAGGTCATAGTCCAGGGGCCCACTGGCGGGGTGGGGGGCAGAGTAGGGCTAGCCATGGCTGCGGATGGTGGTGTGTGTGTGTGTGTGGGAGGGAGATGCCTTTGAGGGAACAGGCCTCCGGGGCTGAGGTGGGGCAGGCAGACGGAATCCACTGGCCTTGCCCTCCCTGCCTTGCATAGTGGGTAACTCAGGCTGAGGCAGATGGGGTCTATTGTATCTTGTGGGGCTGTTGGGGACCCTGAGCCCACAGCATGATGAAGTATCATCTTCTCCAGAGCTGGAGGCGGAGGAGTGGTACAAGACACTATCTGTGGAGTGTTTGGGGTCCCGGCTCAATGACATCAGTCTCGGGGAGCCAGACCTCCTGGCCCCGGGGGTGCAATGTGAACAGACAGGTGAGACCTGGAGCTGGAGGTAGGGGTAGGGAGAGGAAGAGTAGAAGAGGGGAAGAGGAGGAGGAGGAGGAGGAGGGAGGAGGAGAAGAGAAAAGGGGAGGAGGAGAAAGGAGGGGAAGGGGAGAAGAGGGGAGGAAGAAGAGAAAGGGGAGGAGAAGGAGAAGGGGGGGAAGGCGAGAAGAAAGGAGGAGGCCTCCCTCCTGGAACGCTCTGGGCCCACTTGTCCTCTCCCACACCAGATCGCTTCAACGTCTTCCTGTTGCCCTGCCCCAACCTGGACGTGTATGGCGAGTGCAAGCTGCAGATCACCCATGAAAACATCTACCTCTGGGACATACACAACCCCCGCGTGAAGCTCGTCTCATGGCCCCTCTGCTCGCTGCGCCGCTATGGCCGGGATGCCACACGCTTTACCTTTGAGGCTGGCCGGTAGGAGCCTCTGACCTCCCGCACCCCTGTCCTACCATAGTCAGGATGGTGGCTGCTACTCACTCTGTCAGGCACTGGGCTAGGAACTTAATTTACCTGCAGAGCAATCCAAAGGGGAATGCAGTATTCCCATTTTACAGATGAAGAAATTGAGGCTCAGAGAAGTAACTTGCCCGCAGCAGGTTAAGTGAAGCCTGTTTACCAAAAGTCAAACTGCTTGGGCTCAGGCGCTGGCACTGATACTTCTAGCTTTGGGATTGTGGACCTGAGTCTCAGCTTCCTCATCTCTCAAATGAAGGACAATGAAAAATACCTAACCTCATAGAATTACAGTAAGGATCGGCTATCGCACAGCTTGAACTCTGGAGCCAGCTTGCCTAGATTTAAACCCTGTATAATCCTCTGTATAACCTCGGCTAAGATACTTAGCCTCTGTCTTATTTTCTCATGTGTAAAAATGGCTTAAGAAAACTCATACCAATGAGGAAACCTATAGACTGTGTAGACCAGAGGTGGTAGTGGAGAAAGCAGACGAGTTAATGCTTGGAAAGCATTTTGAACACCATCTGGCACATAGAAAGTGCTCAGTAGGTTGGAGCTGTGTGGTCAGACAGCCCTGCCTGATACCCTGAGGACCCAGTGTGGTGTTAGGGCTGGGGCACAGGAGAGCCTGACCAAGCACCTGCATGTGTGTGGAGGGGCCCCTACCACCTTGCCCTCTGTGCCACCTGTGTCCCCAGGATGTGCGACGCTGGGGAAGGGCTCTACACCTTCCAGACGCAGGAGGGGGAACAGATTTACCAGCGGGTCCACAGCGCCACCCTGGCCATCGCGGAGCAGCACAAGCGGGTCCTGCTTGAAATGGAGAAGAATGTGAGGGTGAGGCAGTAGGCATCTCAGTCCAGGGTGCATGGGGAGACCAGGGGATGGGCGGGGCCTCGGACCTGGGGCCTACCCCCTAAGTCCCAGCATGTAGACAGGCAGTGTCTTGGGCCTGCTGCTCTGGGTTAAGCCATTGCCCCTAGAACTCATGGGAGGGACCCCTTCTCTGCCCACAGCTGCTGAACAAGGGCACAGAGCATTACTCATATCCCTGCACGCCCACTACCATGCTACCCCGCAGCGCCTATTGGCACCACATCACAGGTTCCCAGAACATCGCTGAAGCCTCAAGCTATGCAGGTGAGTCATGGTTAAGCCCTACAGGAGGCACTGTGGAGGACGAGGCTTACTGGGCAGGGATCTTCTAACCTGGATCTTGAGTCCTGGGTTTGCCTTGTGCCCACAGGTGAGGGGCATGGGGCAGCCCAGGCCAGCTCAGAAACGGACCTCCTCAACAGATTCATCCTGCTACAGCCAAAGCCCAGCCAGGGGGACGGCTGTGAGGCCAAGACCCCATCCCAGTGACTGGGAGGCCGGCGCACACCGACGACTGCTAGGGCTGCCTGTAGTGACTATGGACCACCTCCACAGGCTGCTGGCCAAGAGCCCAAAGAAAGGGAGCTGCTGTCCCTCCCCTGCCCCCAAGGGTGAGGCTGGACCAAGGCACAGGGCTGGCCACACCGCCTGAGCATGTGTGAGGGGCTGGAGCTACCATGGACTATATACTGTTAATAATTTTAATATATACGGCTTATGACATATTCTGTATTAATGAGACTCTCCCCCCCTCCAACGCCTCCCCATACACATTTCTTAATCCCGTGACCAGGCCACAGTCAAGGCTGGTTTTGAGTGTGAGAGTAGCCCTCCAGCTGCCAGGACCTGCTTGAGCTGCCAGGGCCAGAGGGGGACAATCAGAACGCGAGGCTGGCCCTCTGATCACGGGCTTTTCCCAAGCAGCCCAGGGGCCAAGAGAGCAGGTGGCTTCTCTGTTCCTGTGGGCCCAGAGAGGCACCAGAGGGCCCCAAACTTCCACTGTGCCATTTGGCAGCCTTGCACTTGGAGTTTTAAGCAAAGGTGACATCTGATTGACATCTCAGGTGAAAATCTGGTTTTAAAACGTTATTTCTGCACAGGCTCCCTCCTGCCTAGTGGGCTCAGATGCCCTGGGGGTAGGGGTGCTGGTTACCTCAGCCAGGTGGAGGATGGGAGGATGGCCGGTTGGAGCTCTCCTACCCCAGGCCAGGCCAGGAGGGAAGGTAGTGGCAGGACTGCTGTGGGGAGGGCTCCTGCTGCCCTTCTAACTGACCAGGGTGGGCAACACCCCAGCAGAGGGGGCCACTCTGCCCTGTTTGGCCACCCCATGGCCAGCCAAAAGCACTCAGAAACTGACATCCCCTTCCCCTCCTCCCCACATGGTGCTGAGGCTCCCTGCTGAAATGCAATTAAAGCAATTGATTTTCTAGTGCTGGTATTTATTGACTACCTTGCAGAAGGGCTATCTTTTTATTCACGTCAAACCTTCGGTTGCGTGCTTTTTCTTTTTTTTTAAATACTTTAGGGTTCTGATTTGTAGGAACAGACCTTCTTGTAAATAACCACTATCCGAGTTGTGGCAGGAGGATGATAAAGTTAAGAGGCCCCCCCCTCTCAACAGAGCCCTGGGGCCAGGGAGGTGGCTGCAGCCACCTCAGCTCTCAACCTGATGCAGGCAATGACCACCCAGAGGAATATGCTAGCGTGAAAAGGGAAGCCCGGGTCCCAGGGCCCTGGGGAGGTAGGAAGAGCTGGCTGGCTCAGCTAGTGGCACGATGACGCATGAAGGAGATTATATTGTGCTCTTTATTGCCAAAAATAAAAACTTTTTAAAAAGACAACTACTGTTATGTTAATCAATAAATATCCCTTCTTTTCTGCACTGCATCTATGGCAGCCTGATTAAATGCTTTGGGTATGTTCCTACCTGGAGACAGGGCTAAGAGGTCAGGGCCAAACACCTTCATTAATAAGAAATGAAATGGGGGTGGGAGAGCCTCATTCCACCTCCCTCCCACCAACTAAATGACCATCAGGCTCTTGGCAGTTAAGGAGTTCTCCATAACTGATGGGTAGAGAATGAAATAACGTATTTATTTGTGTGTGTCTGTGTGGGGGGACAACCAGGGTCTAACATTATTCCCGAAGGGTTACTTCTCAAACTAGGAACTTGGGAATTTGAGTGAGGCGCCAGTAGGCTGGCCCTGGGAAAGGGACTGGAAGGGTATATATGCAGCCTGAATGGGGCTTCTAGCACTCAATTCTAGCACCAGAAACCTAAGGTACAACTGCGAACTTATAGACAGAAAGGTAATTACAGTAAAGCTCTAGAACGAGCAAGAGCAGAGGGGAGGTCCGGCTGAGCAGTTCCCAGCAGGGAAGCAGTATGGCCCCTAGGGCCACATGAGGAAACGAGGTGGAAGGGATGTTTTGGTTTCTGGGTAGCACTACTGGCCCTTAGTAGGACCAGGATGCTAAATGTCAGTAAAGAACGGGCCTGCCTCAAATATCTAGCAGCATCCCTGGTAATCTACCTGCAATCAAGAAAGGCTGGGATGAGCCCACCCTTCTCTACTGCGACCCTTCTAGTTGGTACTGATGGCCCACCAAGAAGCTTGAGCAATGGCAGCCCCCAAGTCTGGAAGAGTCTCAGGAGAGACGTGAAGTCCAGCTGGCTGCTGGCCTGTTTCCCCCTTTTTGCTGATATAGCCAAGCTGCAGCTAGTTTATGGTCAGGACGTCACTCTGGATCTCGTGGCTTAACTGGGTCTGTAAATCACTCAGCTTCTTCTTCAATCCAGACAGGGCTGAGAGAACGATGGTTTCAGGGCGCAGGGAGCCACAGGACTCCACGTTGTAGAAAAACCTAGAGGCAAGAGTCTGGTGAGAGCCGTCCACAAGGCAGGCTGCCAGCCTGCGCTCTGACCATGGGCCAACCCTTCCTCCCTTCTGGGTCTTGACCCCTTGCACATCAGGAACGTGACCTTGCCCCACAGCTGACCTCCCTTCACCCAGAACCTCTTACACACAGTAGGCCCAGCCCACTCTGCAGGCCCTCAAAGAGGCTGCAGCTGCTGCAGAAAGACACTATGAAAAATCTCAAAAAATCTAAAAATTTCTCAAACATGTATGTGTTCCACACTGAAGAGAAAGCAGGAAATCCAATAAGCAGTGATCACACACTATAGCACTTCATGTTCCTGACTACAAGAACGTGGTGGAAGCTTCCACCCCTAGCCTGGAACTGAAGGTTCCCTTCTTTGGGGGCTGAAAATCAGGACAGGAACAACTCACGTAACTGGAGGGCACGCCTTTCTCAGAGGGACCCAAAGGGGGATGAGAAGCTGCCCCACCCAGGATGTGCACATTATCATGGGTTTAGCAGTTATCGGCCCCTCGGCAGCCTACGGGAACTGGGACACAAGGCAGAGGGTCTCCCTCAGAGCCTGCACCTAAAGCCGACATTCTTACACACTCTACCTTTTACTCTCAGACCAGGTTCTTACCTCTCTGGCTTGCCGTTGGGGTCGTAGGGTGCCTGGGACTCATCCTCATCCAGCTCCGAGTACTCACTCTTTGGCCTGAAGTCAAACACAGGTCATCGAAGGGTTGCTGTCGCTGCTTCCAGAGCACATTAGCTCATACCAAGTCTGCCCCTTCTCAGTCATTAGCAGCTGCTTCCATACCCACCACCCTAAATGCTGGCCTGCACTCCTGACCAGAACATACCATTCCTCTGGCTTGGGGTACACTGTGTGTCTCAGGGCATTGTCTGGATCATATTCAAAAGCCACCCCTGCGGTAGGGTTCCACTTGGCGTGTTCCTTGCCAAAGCCCTTTTTGGCATAGGCTCGAAGTCTCAGCTCCTGCCCCTTTCTGAGCTTGACGATAAGGATGTCTGCGGGGAGAGGCTTAAATCACTCAAGAGCCAGGAGAGGCCCTCTTCCCCCCAGTGTTGGTCTGGTGAGCCACTGAAAGACCACACACATCTGGAAAAATGCATCTAAAGCCAGTTTACAAGGAGGCAGGCAGCGCAAGAGGCTGAGCCTGATCTCGGTTTCCCCTCTGGCCTGCAGACCAACAGGGGAACAGATGTCTGCACACTCACTCCAGCCCCTTACCATCCTGCTCCACATAGTCATTGGGGTCATTGTCTCGGTTCCGGGACGTCACCTGTGGGCAGCCCAAAAAGAGGCATAAATTAGCTGCTCATCTCCCCAGTCACCTCTCTGGCAACCTTCTTCCAGCACCTCTAGATGGCAATTGGCCAAACTAGGGAAAGTCAGCCTGGGAATGAGGTGGGAGAAGTCCTACCAGGACCGTCTGTGCTGTGAATGGATTCCAACCCCCCTTCACAGCATTCTACTCGTCTTCTTAGTCAAAACAATCCCAGAACCTTTAAGAGGGCCCTTAGGTGACAGGGCATAGAGCACCAACCATGCTGCTGCCCAGCTAGGCAGGAAACCAGAATCAGCGCTTCAGACATCAGCTTAAGGCAGAGGGTAACAGAGAAAGTAGCGTTTTACAAGGATTCAGAGCCCTGGTGGCGCAGTGGTTAAGAGCTACGGCGAGCTACGGCTGCTAACCAAAAAAAAAGGTCGGCAGTTCCAATCTAACAGCTGCTCCTTGGAAATGCTATGGGGCAGTTCTACTATGTTCTATAGGGTCACTAGGAGTCGGAATCAACTTGACGGCAACGGGTTATACGGATTCATCCCAATCTGGCCCACCTGGGAGTCGGTGAGCAAAGGGCAAAGGTCCTGGGCAGGAAGGATGCTGAGACACTGACCGGAATGACGCGAGGGCTGTTGGAGATGAGGTCTCGGGACGTGACATGCCGAGTCTGGTCTTCATTGCACCGCACATCAAGGGTGAACTCCACCGAGCACTCAGGGCAGAACTCTTCACACGTGCAGTCCTGAGGCAACAGAAGCAGGGATGGATGCGTGGAGAGGTGCAAACCCAGACTTGGATCCCTGCTCCCAATACCCAGTTCCTTAAATTTATTCATAAGTAAAATGGGGTTGATCATGGTTTCAAGGCATTTGTGGGCCTGTCAATCTGAAACACTGTTCTCAGGAGCTGCTCAAGTGCAGGCACTTCCCAGCTTAGAGACAACCTACATACATACTGGCAGCCATGTTTCCTTCTCACCCCTGCCCCTACCCTGCCCAACTGCCAGCCACCACCAGGAGATGCTCTCCTAAAATCTCACGCAGGCCCTCAGGCTCTCTCCTTTAGAGAAGCGAGGCTACCAGTGAGAGGAGGATACCTTCATACTCTAGAGTTCAGCTTCCCATGAGTAAGTGGGAAAGATAACGATCATTTAAAGCAAAACGGAATAAGAGAGGAAAGTATGATTCAAGTTCTAGAATACTGACCTTTTCTAAAAACTTGTGAAAAGTTCAGACACAACTAGACAATAGTATAACAACTGCGACCACGCAACCACCTCAACTTCGATAATAATCAGCACAGTGCCATTCTTTAAACAACTGACTCTTGAAACCACCTATCCCCATGTTAGGGACTACCTGCTGCAGTTTAACTTCAGGCAAGAAGAGAGTTACTAGAGTGCAATCAAACAAACAGTTTTCCCCCTCACATCCGTGAGGAAAACCCAAGAAACCTGCAGTCTGTGAAATGATAAGGGAGAAGAAACACCTGGAGGCCTCAACTGGCCAGACAGCAGTCCTACACGGGTGAGGCAGGAGCGCACCAGGCCTGCCCCATCTCAGTCACCAGCAGCCATTTCCACACCCACCATCTAAATGCCTGCCTTTAGTCACGACAGAAGTGGCCTTCAAGAACGAATCATCTGCTTAGTGAGAAATACAAAATGGAAAAATCAAACACAATGGAAGATAAAAACACGACAAGGTCCTCAGCCTCACACACACAAAAACAGGTTTTGTACACCCATATTCACTGCAGCACTATTCACAACAGCCAAAAGGTGGAAACAACGCAAATGTACATCAACAGATGAACGGATAAACAAAATGTGGTCTATACATACCATGGAATATTACCCAGTCATAAAGAGAAATGAACTTCTGACGTATGCTACAACATGGATGATCCTTGAAAACATTCATTATGCTGAGTGAAATAAGTCAGACACAAGAGGACATGCTGTATGATCACATTTATATGAAGTTTATCTACAAGAGACAAATACATAGAGACCAAAGTTTGATTCGTTTTACCAGGGGCAAGTAGGAAGGGAAAAAGGAGAATTACTGCTTTAAGGGGCACTGAGTTTCTGTTTGGGTTGATGAAAAACTCCTGGAAATGGACAGTGGTGACGGTTGCACAACAGTTTGAACATAATTAATGTCACCGAATTGTACACGTAAAGAAGGCTGAGTTGACAAAAGTTTTGTTATATATATCTTCCCACCAAAAAAAAGGAGTGAAGGAAGAAGGGACTGTTTGAGATTAAGAGACTAAAGAGACATACCAACCAAATGAAACGCATGAACCTTGACAGGATCATAGCCCCACAAACAAAAAATGATAAAGGACATTTTGGGGACAACTGGGAAAATCTAAATCTAAACTGAAGGTATATATCATGAATTAATGCTAATTGTCTTAACCTGCTGCTGTTGAGTTGATTTCGACCCACAGCGACCCCACAGGACAGAGCAGAACCTCCCCCACAGGGTTTCCGAGGCTGTAAATCTTTATGGAAGCAGACTGCCACATCTTTCTCCCACAAGCAGCTGGTGGGTTCGAACAGCCAACCTTTCAGTTAGCAGCCAAGTATTTAATCCACTGTGCCACCAGGGCTCCTCTAATGGTCTTCAGTATGATAACAGTGTTGCGGTTACACAGAATATCCTTATTCTCAGGAGACGCGTGCTGAAGTATTTAGGAGAGAAGTATCAAAATGGTTAAGCAAAAATAACAATATCTATGAAAAATAAAGCAAATGTAGCAAATATTAACAACTGGCAACTACAGGTAAAAAGTAAATGGGTGCTTATTTTCTATTTTTTTTAAGTTTTCCATAAATTTGAAAATTTTCAGAAAAAGATAAGCAAAAAAAAGAGAAACATATACCATCTTTGTTTGATAAATACTAAAAAAATTTAAAAGGGAATTGCTAGGTCATAGGACATGCATATATTTATACAAAACCAAAATCCATTGCCACTGAGTCGATTCCAACTCATAGTGACCCTACAGGACAGGGCAGAACTGCCCCATAGAGTTTCCAAGGAGCGCCTGGTGGATTTGAACTGCTGACCTTTTGGTTAGCAGCCATAGCACTTAACCACTACGCCACCAAGGTTTCTATGTTTATATGAGATATGGCCAAATTGCTCCTCGATTGGTTGTACAACTGTCCCCACCAATATCTGTGATGTTTTATTTCTTTAAAACAAAAATCTGGAGATGTGAAGCAAATATGGCGAAATTTGGATGGGACACGTTGTTTGGTAGAAGCATGGGTGTTTGTTACTGTTCACTCCATGCGTCTCTGTGTGCTTGAATATTTCTTTTAAAAAATACGTAATACATTTACAAAATATATTAGCCACGATAGAAATAACATGCCCTTGGGGATATCAGAAAACAGGTCAATTCAGTATCACCCAAAGCCATCATGAGGTAACAGTCTCAGGCTGTTATCTAATGCAGCCTCAGTGGGAGGATGCAGGTCACCTAACCCTGTCACACTCTATCCTCAGGCTGTAGAAAGCCTGTTAACGTATCACCAGAGAGCAAGCACTCACACAGAGGAAGGGTGTCAAAGTTTGGGATGTTTAACTACCACCACCTATGGGGGACAGCATGAATCTGGCAGACACCAGTACACCAGTCTCTCAAGTATTGTTCCTAAGGGACAATTCCCATTCCCTTTGCTCCTGGTCCTCGCTCACCCCAACCTTCTATTGACTCCTTTTAGCCACCTAGGCCCCTGTCACTGGGA